ACACTGATTCATTGTCTCCTTAAAAAAGGCAAATGTTTACTCTTTATTTTACGATGCAAGAGCTTACCTCTCCTGTTACTTTCTTTCATTTCCTTCACCTTTTATTATTTATTAAATATTAAAAATGAAACAATTTCTTTACACATGGAAATCATACCCTCTACCTTAAAGCACTGTAAGTATATATAATCAAGCGTGAACTAAACAAATAGACTGACAGCATTTGATTTGTATATTATTGGCTTAAATGTATCATTTTTACAAGAAAAGTGATTTATAAACGACTAAAGGTTAGACTCCGCTGTAATGGAATACCTAGAAGTTATAGAAATATTATGAATAGTAATAATAAGGATGAGTGAATTTTAAGATGGGATCTAACCCGCATAGCTGAAAAAAAAATACCATATTTCATTTTTTTTTTAGAGAAATATAGATCAGGAATCTATTTCCAGTTTCATAAGATATTTTTGAACGTTAAAGCTGGTATGAAACTTTTTAAGAGTGACAAGGTTACTAAATTGAAAAAGCTTCAAAATGCCGTGTTACTAAACTCTAGATTTTACTGTATCAACCATTCGATTCCTCATGTATGTTCAACCATCCAGCCGTATCAGTGGAACAACATGGCCGTTAGGTCGAAACCCACCGCTGGTGCAAGTGTTTGTCAATAGCGAAGGTCAAAAAAAATCCTCAGAACGTAGCATACGTAGCATTTTTTTTACCATTGCTGGAGGTTCGAATTGGCACACGCTTGTTAATGTATTATTAGACTCTGTTATTCCAAGAAAGCATCAGAAACCTAAAAGAAAATGGACACGAAATAATTGGATATATAAGAAAATCAACTCACGAAAAAGACGATAGCATACGCATTCGTTTGCTGAACTAAATGAGCGCAAGTCTGAAAGAAAGATCCACTGTAACGAAAGTATTTTCAAGTGTTTCCTATGACGGAAATCAAACTTTACTTGCGAGAGACTCAAAAAAGAATACTGATATGTTGTCAAAAATAATCTCTGAGGCCTGCAGCCACATCACAGCCTCTAGCTGTTAAGGTTGGATAAGACATGCTGAGAGTGATTGGGGTAAATGTTTGAAAAGAGAACTTGAAGTAAAATATCGCCTCAAGTGTCTACAAAAATAAAGACTCGTCGTCCACAAATAAATTTAATTGGTCCAAGTTCGTCTCAATCTGAAGTTAAAATAAAGAACGAATCTTTTTTTTGTTCTTTTGCTTTTATACATAAATACAAATACAACACAAATAAGACAAGACAGTATATATCCTCTACATTATTAATAGTATTTATATCATTATAGCATAAACGAATGACAGATCAAGGTAGCATATTAATAATAATAATAATAATAATAATAATAGTATGAAAATTCACTCCATCAACACATTTTGGTCATTTAGGGTCAACGTATGCCATTCTTCAAAGTGTACCAGTCATGGTATCACCACTCTATAGATTACCAAAGAAGGTAGGCTATTTGTCATTTGCAGCTACTATAAGCACTGGTTTGAATTAATAGTATTAATAGATTATTGTTGCATCTGAACTAAAGTTGGTACCAAATGATATTACACAATTCGTAAGCATTTAAGTTTTATAAATATGTAAAGAGCATTAAAGAATTAATAGAAAAAAAAAAAATGGTAATAATAATAATAATAATAATAATAATAAAACAGGCTAGTTATCCATTTGTAATAGAAAGAGAGGCACTTAAACAAGTAGATATTTCGAGAACGCAAAGTCTCGAGCAAGAAGAGAGGGTTGAGCAGTTAAGACAAAGATATAAAGAGGATAAAATTAACCAGCAAAAGGTGGCGGCTAGAAAGATCGCTCCTGGCTTTTTGGATACAGATACGCGTATTTTGAAACCAGAACCCACACATTCTTCAACAATGGATAGCGATGAATTGACTGATTCACCTAGACTTGTATCGAATCAGCTTGCAGATAAAGTAATAATTTATTTATTGTATGTCTAATCATAATGAAACTAATATCTCTTTATTAGCAATTTGATTATCTAAAGTTCGAGCAAGGCCTTGCACCAAATGACCCTTGGGATACACCCGAAAATGATATGGCAGCTCTTCGATCAATACTAGGAAGTCCAAAAGGTACAGAGGAGCACACACCAAAACGAACCTCTACTGCACCTGTTTATCCATCTCTTCCCCAACACCAGCAACAATATCCTCCTGTACCTGTTGGTTATCAAAATGAAGGAGGTAAGCTTTTTTTTAAAAAAAAAAAAAAAAAAAAAATAGAGAGAGAGAGAGAGAGAGAGAGAGAGAGAGAAACTAAATGAATATCCAAGTATACTGGAACTATGGACAAAACAATTCCTATTCACCCCAACACAAACACTCACCTCTCGTTCCAGCACTACCTCCTAAAGTACTCGGTTCATCCTCACCTCGTACAACCACACCTCCCATCCCTCCCGTTCCATCAAACTACCGATCACAGATCCCAACTCCTCCTCCTTTGCCTCCCCCTCCCTCAAATAATGATTTGGATCCACTTATAAGTGAATTGGGTAATATGGGATTTAGTAGGGTACAAGCGATTGAAGCTTTGGAGAAGAATGATCATGATTTGATAAAGGCTACTCACTTTTTGTTAGATCAGGCGGGATAAATTATTTCATATACTTAATAAAATGTGTTTTATGATATATATGTGTGTATTACTTAGAAATAAAAAGTCAACTTAATATTATGCAGTATTATAAAATAAAGGGGTGAGGAGAGTTTATTATTATTCATTAATGATAATAATAAACACAAAAACAGGGTTGTATATGTATAGTGTGAACGAAAGGGAAGAAATTTTAAATATTAAGAAAGGAAGGATCATCTTCTTCCAAACAATCTACTGCTTCTACTACTTTTAGATGCAATGGACACTACATCACTATCCACAAGAGCCACCCGGACATGAAGCTCACCGGCTCCTACTGGAGTCAATGGCAACCAACCATCAAACGCCTGACCATGTCTCACATTTTCGATAAGGTGAAAATGGTGTTCACCAATATCCACATCATTATTCAATTTGTTGTGATCTTTGATTTTAAAATCGATGCTACTACTTGTCACTTTACAGTTGAAACTCTCGCTCCAATCAGGATTGAGTGTCTTTTTGATATGTTTCGTCTTGTATATAGCCTTGTTTCCCATTCGCACACGACAGTAAGGATCGCTCGTTCCTCCTCGATCCATTGCCTTGAGATGTCTTGCTTCGATAATTGTGATGTTGACCATGGATCCTTCTTCGATATCACCTGAGATCTCACTAAAGTCGGATGATAAATCTAGGGAAAGTGGGATTACTGGTACAGGAGGGATATCGTTATTACTGCTGCTTTTGGAAATAATACCGCTGCTATTGCTGCTTATACTATTGCTGCTGCTCCTACCCATTTTTCCTATACCACGAATACCACTTCCGATAGCAGATACACCCGTTCCAAATACTTTTGTACCGGCTCCAATAACCTTACCTCCAGCATCCTTTCCTGCGCCAAAGGCATTACCAGGTACATGTGTAAGGACACGGGTAGTAGCCGAAAACAATGACGTATTTGTACGTTTACGTGCAACGAGCTCTGGTCGCCAAAGCAGTGCCATAGACAAACGTCCTCCGTTATCGGGAAGCACCAGCTCCTTGTTAGTGTTTCGAAATGTCTCTATATCGTCTCCAGTAAAGGGTATGATGCATTCACCAAGCAATGTGTCCTTTCCAATCTGATCCCAGTCGAATATCTTGGCCACTAAGCGAGACACCGTACGATCATACACAGGCAATGTGAATTTTTCGTCCTTGCTAAAGACTGGGTTGAGCGTCTTTTTGTAGGTCTGTGTCTTGAACACCCGCTGGTCGTTGAGGTAAAATCGTATAAAAACATCACTGGTACCACCCTTATCGGCGGCAATGAGGTCATTCGCCTTTACCACTGTCACCGTCAAGTGTCCTTGGTTTTCGAGACTTTCTCGTGGGTCCAATTTAAATTGCACGACTGGGATAAATGCAAAGCCGAGTTTTACCTTACCACCACCAGGGCAGTCTATTAGAGTGGCGCTCTCTATATACTCTCCGTCATGATCAAGGTTCATTATATTTTTGACAATTTTTATGACTTCAAAGCTACACCTTCCAAAACTTTTTGTGTTGTTTTCGCCATCACGAGCTGATCGCACGTTTACCACAAGCTTGGAAAAGTCCATTTCCTTTACAAACACAGTACCAGTCTCGTTTATATTCAGATGGGTTCCCTTCTGTTGAATTGTTTTATATTGTGAATGATTCGAATCAAGTAAAAGTTCGACAACAACCGCACGATGTGGCTCTATAAATTCCACAGATTGTATATTCACTGCTAATACACCTGATTCGTAACTGGCAAGATCAATCTGTTTGCGTTCTTGATAAGGGCTGGTATAATGAATAACGTGATTATGAAGGTCTTTTTCAGGCCAGAATTTTGGATTTTCTATTAGAACAGGTTCTGAAGATGTATTACTACTGCTGTCTACTTGGTCTTCTTCTAATATTTCTTCTTTTAGCTCCTCTTGTTCTTTCATTGGTTTATCTTTTGCAAGTGCAAGTGTAGGGAAGAACGATGCTTGATAATGTAGACTTCCACGATCTTTTTTACGATCAAGACTTAATAAATTGACAGTTCTACATAGCTGATGAGTATCATTGATTGATATATATAGTTATCTTTTTTTTTTTTTTTTAAAAAAAAAAAAGGTATATGTTTACCTGTCCGTCGGCTCCAGTGCCTCATATATCGTCTGTCCATTCCCTTTCACTTCTTTTATAATATCCTTCAAAACAAACTCTGTCATGCCTAGACTCTTATCTTTTGTATTTTCGTTGTAATCCATCACTTCAAAAATCAGATCCTCTCTGATCGAGTGCACAGGCACATAAAGAACCTGGTTCCACTCAGGATTAAGATCATCATCAATATGATCGGTCTGTCCACGATTCTGAACACTGGACAAGATGCGTACATAAGGATCAGATTTTCCTCCCGTCATTGCCTCTACATTTTTAAGGTTGAAGGCACTAAAGAAATTGACACGTAAAACACCAACAGGAGGGCCTTTTTTTTTGACAGTTATTTTAAAAGAAAAAATATATTTACATAAAAGAACTTACGATAAACACCATGACCAAATCCTTCATTGAATCCAGTCATAGTGACAGGTTTCCACATCATTGATATATGTACCTTCCCAGAATTACCCTTTAAATTCCACCACTCCTGCTGCCCAGCATCTAGCAATGTTGAGGTCCACGAACCCAAATTATGATCAGCATCCAAAATAATTAATTCCAATGACAGTTTACTCTTGTCTGAAATAAAACATTCAACCGTTTTGTCCCATCGAGGATTTATACTGCGTTTGAATGCCTTTGTGCGAAGCTTTTCGATTCCATTCATCTTGACTATTGCAAAGGGGCTTATTCCTTTGGATCGAGAGGAAAGGTCTTTGCATTCATGTACGGTAAATCTTAATATACCGCTATCTAATAAATAAATAAATAAAAAGAGCCATTTTAATATACTTCTTATTCATATGCCAAAAAAAAAAAAGAAAGCTTACTGGATTCTTTTGCAGGTATAATGGTACCATCGTCTTCCTTGTCTGGTTTGTTAATAGGGAAATAGTGTAAATCACACTTGATTTCACCAGCGATTTTTCCTTTTCTCAAAACAGGTAAAGTCCTATATATATATTACAATTAAAGTAAATTCACGGAAAGCAATCCTACAAATTAAATAACGTACAATCCTTCAACAATATTTTCGGACTCTTGCAAGGTGCTCAACTCAAAATTGGCAATACCAATTGAAGTATCCGTTCTGCCTGTATTTCTGTCCATGACCTCCAAAAAGAGGCATGTGTTTACATTATTAAGTAGGACAAACAAGGTCTCGTCAAACTTGGGATTCATGTTATTTTCAAAGTGTTTGGTGCGACCTAGTTCAGGACTTGTCGCT